TTCCTTTCAAAGTTTCTCCAACCTCCCAAAATAGTGCCACCAGCTGGAGGCCTGTATGGTTGTACCAGTTCCTGCACTTGTAAAGGGGGCAATGGGTGGTCGCTGGGTGTATGCAAGCTATATGAGAAGTGCTTATCAAGGCTCTCTGTTCCTGGGAGCCTCAGGGTGCTGCACATGACTGAGTCACCTATGCTGCCCTGTGAAGACTTGACAGAGGTGTCTGAGAGCTGGAGGGCTGCATGCTGGGGAGACCTGTGCAGACTGGGCAGGACCAGGCACTGCTGCTCCATAGCTGCCAGGTAGAACCTCTCTGGCAGCTGATGGCAGACCCTCCAGGTTAGTCCTAGCCACAGCAGGGTCAAAACAAGCAGAGCATCCCTGGGTGAACAGGGCAGACATAATGACAGCACAGAAACCCTCAGACACCAGGGCAGTTCTCAAAGTTCTGCTGGGCCCTTGGCAGCATGGAGACTTACCTTGGGCGTCCTTTTGATGGGAACTCTTCTGCGCAGACTTATCCAGGCACTGCGCTGCTCCTTGCTAATGGGGTGCACGATGAAGACTAATGCACTGTGTCTGGTCACCTCCAGGCGAGTCCATTCTGCCCCCTCAGGGCTAGTAACGTTTGATTTTTTTTTTTTTAATTCACTTAAACAAAGAAAATATTTCAGCCTACAGCTGCGCTCCTCCTGCAAGTCCTGGACCCAGGATGGCTGTTTCACGGTGGGGCAAGTCCTCAGTCTTGTTTATTCCTGCAGTTTCTCCACCTTCTGCCTCGGTGTCCTACACAGGTGATTAGGGAGTCTAATTGGTTTGCCTGTAAAAGGATAATTAATTGATATTTCCTTCAAGAGGTCAGGCTGCCCTAGCAGAGCCTATGTCTCCAGAGTGAACCTTTATCTTGTTGATAAAGCCATAATTACCATCAGCACTGACATAGGCCTTAGGGTTGATTCCCAGAGATTGAGAGTCCTTCCCGTTCCTGGGCCTCTTGGTTGGGGGAGGTAGCAAATGTAGATACTAGGGCAGGAGAGCCTCCAAAAAATGAACCAGGCATGGCCACAGAGCACTTGGTAGCTACCATGGAAACTACTTGCAGCAAAGTCCCTGTCCTTTAGAACTGGTGGAGGTGAGAATGCCATGCCTACCCTATTCCCCCCCACACACACACACACACCACAGTCAAGGGTGGGTCCCCCTGCAGGGATGGCATGGGGTAATGTGTAGTGCTGGAATACATCTCCCTTGTGTCTCTTCAAGTGTTGGAAGTGATCCCCAGGCTGGCAGTGGCTGGAAGACAGACACTCCTATTGACAGCACTGCTCCCCTATCTGATAACAGCTCTGTGGCTTATCTCTCCTAGGCAGTAAGATCTTAAGCCTTTAGAAGGCCCTTGCAGTCTTTGGCCTTATCTCTTCTCCTATGGTTCAGCCTAATAGGAATTTGCAGACAGGGTGGGCACAGTGAGACTAGTGCCCCAGGGTAAACCAAGCAGGAGGTCAGATGCACCACAACCATTGAGATTCAAGACAGAAGAGGCAGAATTGGTTCTGACACCTCTCCAGGTGCTACCTACAATAGTACCTGTAGGATGATGGACAGGGAACAAATAGCCCTCAGGGCAGAAGAGGCAGCTGGTGAGAGAGGCTCTAGGGGTGTCTGAAGGATGAATAGCAGCTGAGAGTGTGGAGCAGGGGAGGGAGGGGCTTGTCCCCCTACCACCCTGGCAGAGCTGAGAGCATGAGACAGAGAATGTAATCCATCCCATGGCCTCTGCCTAGAGGTTTCACTTGTGTCCCACAAGGCAGACAAAAGCCCTTAGAAGTTCAGGGCAACCATCACAGGGTCCCACCAGTGCTGGAGGTGAAAAGTGAGTTACAGGGCAGACTGGTGACATCTAGGACCATCACAGTCATCCCACTGCAGACAGTAGTGGCCTGGACTCAAGAATGGGTATATAGACCTGCCCATGGGAGTAGAATAATGAGAGGAGTAGGGCTAGCTACTTGGAGAAAGTGTATCTGTAATGGGGAGGAGAGGAATTGATTTGGAGGCCCAAGTGCCTGTGTCTGCAGTATGTGGATATCCCAGGTTATAATAGGAAGCTAGCTGTGCATCTGTTCTCCCAGGAGTCAGGAGTTGGGGCTCCTCCGGATGAGCGTGACACTTGGCTCTGTGAGAAGTGAGAGGGTGTACGAGCAGAACAGAAGCCAGCTTCTATCAGGGGCGCCAGCAGCAGGACCTGGCATGGTGTGGACCTGGGCAGTAGCCAGGGATGATGGGGTAGGTTACAGTTGCCCTGAAGCTGGGGTTTAGAGGGTACCAACTGTTTTCTTGTGAAACCCGGATCTTCATCCCCTAAGAAGAAGCCATGGACAGAAGCATATCTGTTCCTGGATGCTAATACTGTGAGTCAACTTCACTTCATGTTTCTAGGAAGAGCAGTCGGCAGGGCCTCCTCCAGCTGGCAAGCCTTCCAAGTGGCCCCTTTCCTCTAGGGAAGCCACATGCTTGTGGGTGCCTCTAGCCTGTTCCCTGGCCATGAGTCTCCCCTCCCTTAAGAGCTCTGACCAGATACACACAGGGTTAGTACAGCAGAGGCAGCTGGTGACCTTGTGTGGCCTGTCTGGACACCATCCCTGCAGAGCAAAGGCCTGCTGAGTGAGCAGTCTGGTAGGCCACAGGGATGGAAGAGGCAAAGGTGAGAAGTGGAGATTTTCTCCTCCTTGAAATGACAAAGGAGGGTTGTGGTTAACCAGACAGCCTCATTCTTGGGGTGGGCGAAGGTCTGTCACATACCCAGATGGCTTCGAGTGTCAATCCTGTGTGGACTGAGGAACCAGGCTTCCAGGTCCCCACTGTTCCGTGTCATTTTTCCCATGAAGCAGCATGGTTAGCATCAGTAATGTGAGCGTCCTATGTTGTCATCGTGGTTCCCATTCACCTTAACGTCCTCTTTCAGCAGCTACATGGTAGCAGTGACAGCCTTTGTTACATGAGGTCACCAGATATGACCACAGACGAGTGGCCCCAAGCAGATGCTCTGTAGATGCCAGCTGTGGTAATTTCTGGAGAAGTCCTTTAACAATAAGGCCAGAAACCTTCAAGCCTGGGGGAGACACTCACAGCCTTGATCTAGATATGTTTTATTTACCCATCAGAAACTCTTGCTGGGTCTTTTACCTACTCCACTTCCCGGAATTGGCACATGGCAAGGCCGTGGCCTGAAGCACTATTATGGTGTGGGCCTAGAGTCGTCAGTGTTCCCAGTTAGGGGCCACTCAGTGTTCATCCTGACTGGGCACAAGCCTCCGAGATACGAAGGCAGAGCCGGCATCTTAATGCCCAAAGTTGTTCTTAAAGGAGAAAGCAGAGCTGGTACCCCTGGTCCACATGGCCCATCAGTGTGCAGAGAGCTGAAAACCATGTTGTCAGCATTGCTGTTCCCAGTCATTGCCCAGGACATCAGTGGTGCAGGGCACAGAGCTGTGGGGAAGGACATTAGCTAAGAATGTCCTTGCATAAGAAAAAGGTTTTTATTAACGCACCATAAGACAAAATTAATACACCTTGGAGAGAAATAATTCTCCCACCTGTAATTTGGAGATATTTCAGAGACCCAGCTGCCACAAACTGGACTCTGGGGAGGGGACACTAATGCCTCTGGCCCCAGGGCCCTGTCTAGCGCACATATGAAAGACACTCACCCCAGTCCCACTGAGGGAGCTAGCCCTGAGAACTGAGCATGGAGTCCCCCCTTTTCCCTGATGAGACAGTGTCCTGGGACATCTCACCACCCCTAATGATGCTGGCCTAGACTGTACCCCTTCTTTCAGGTCCCCACCCAGGTACTACCCTCTCTTCTCCCTTGTCTTCTAGGCGTGTGTTACTCTTGTGAAACACCCCACCAGCTCTGCAGCTCATAATCTGAGGCTACTGCTCTAGTCAGAGCCTCACCCTTTACAACTCCCTGGTCCTCTGGCTCTCAAGGGGCTTACATGTATTTGAGAGGAACCGGGAACCTTGAACCAACCTAGCATTGGAACTCACGATTTGGGCTAGCTATGCCGCTAACTATGAAAAAGACAGAAGGTTCTGTGATTACAGCTCTACCTGTGGGCAGAGTAGAGGCAGAGGAAGTTGCCCTGTGCCCCTCACACCTTGGGATCCTGAAAGCGGAAGGAGCCCAGTGTAGGCAAAGATTTATGGGGCCATCTTCTGAGCCTCTTGGGGCTGATGGTGACCAGAAGTTCCTGTATCCCAATCTGCTGTGGTTTGGGTCAAGAGAGCCAAGTGCCTCTTTCTGGTCTGGCTGAAGTAGCTAACCCTCCTGTTTGTCAGGCAAGGCCTGCTGATTCTGTGTAAATCCCAGACAAGCCCAAGTCCATGTTACACACTGCGTATACTGAACATAAAACCCTGCCCACAGTGCTGTGTCCACACTGCCTACTCTATACGCCTCTGTCCGTACTGCTCTGTCTGTCCACACTTGCCCCAGCCATGCCACTCGGTCTACACTTCTGTCTGTTGCCTTGTCTACATTGCTATGTCCGGGTTGTTCTTTTCACCTTGCCTGGCCCATACTCCTCTGTCCACAGGCTCGGTCCATACTGTCCTACCCATACTCCACCAACCTACTCCATCCTGCCCACACTGCCTGGTCTGTACCCCTCCACTCACACTGCTGTGTCCACGCTGCCCCAACCACATTGTCTGGCTTTTGCTCCTCTTTCCACCCTCCCTTGGATACACTGTCCTGTCCACTCTGCCCTGTCCGTGCTACCTTGATCCAAACTCTATCTATCCTGCGTGTCCACTTCATACTTCCCCTCCGTGCCCCTCTCGAACTGGCTAGGAAGAAAACCCAGGATATAGGTTCATCCCCAACCAGGCTCCACCTCTGTTCCCTTGCCTACTTACCTGGCGAAAGGAAAACTTTCCCTTTGCTCAGGGTTCACAGGGCCTCTCTTTGCTTTATTTTTCCGGGCAAACCCACTCAGCGGGGAGCAGACATGAATCCTGCTCTCCTGAAACCTGTCTGCAAGTGCAGCAAGGTTGTGCTGAATTTGCGGACATCTTCCTCGGACCCCTTCCACCGGAGATGCAGCCCTTTCTGTTCCTGCCCAGCGTGCTTGAGGTAAGCCCAGACGCCATAGGGGGCTCTTCCTTAAACCACTGTGCCCCTCTTAACCTCCTCTCCCTCTGCTTGACCCCCCTAGAAGACCGACAGTAGTCCCAAAGATGATCAGAGTCCCCCAGAGGTGGTGCCCACTACCCAGGATCCTCCAAAAGGCATCAGGTAAAAAGTGTACCCCCATGGGGTCTGCTGAAGCAATGCCCTGGCCTCGGTCACACACATGCCTTAGCTGCCTCTGAGCCTGCCACTCAGAGACCACCACGGTGAGGGTGTCTGTGAGGTGATGGCCAGAAAGAGTTGCAGGGTATCTAGGCAGACAGCACATTTGTTCGGAGCCTGCTGCTAGAGAATGAGCCGCACTCATGTCTCTGTGGATAGTGACCACTGCTTACCCAGCAAGGCCCAAGGTGAGCAGTCAGCCTGCTGCTGCTGCCCTCTTACAACAAACCCTGCACCCCAACACCAAGTAGAGCCCCAGGAGGCTTGGTAGCAGTGGCATGGGGAGTCACTATGGGCCCCTCAGAGGGTAGGGTAGATAGCAGTCAACAATGGAGTCACAGGGAGTTCCATGTTGGGTAGGGATCACTGGTGGGGTTGGGGCCCTCATGGAATGCACATGTTTTCTCAACATTCCATATGAGGAGGCTGCGCTGTGGGCACATCCAGTCATGTGCTGTAACTAACCCCATTGCACAGGAGAGGAAATGGAGGCAATGGCTCTCCCTAAATCAAGTCTGGATTTCTGTCTGACAAATCAGAAGGCTGCTTGTCACAGTGGGTGGTAAAGAGACAGCATGTCTGCTGACTCAGGAGGATGTGGCAGCCAGTTCTATCCCCACCCTTCTAGCAGCTATGAACCAAGGAGACATGGTAGGTACCTTGCAGAGCAGCCAGCACCCACATGCCAGGTGCTCTGCTAGTGGAACATGTGGGGTGTAGGCCGTCACTGGACCTAATTGGATCAGGAAGTCCTGGCAATTCCCGAGAGACTGGCAATCAGGGCAGGCCAGGGCCAGGGAAGCCTGTGGACAGAAGAACATTGTTCCTGAGATGGCCAGGAGAAAGATTAAGGCACAGGTAAAGGGTGCCTACACATTACCAGCCAGATCTCTCAGCATTGTAGCCTTGGCAGCCTTCTGCCCCATGCAGAGGCCAGGAATACGCTGAGGTCACTGCTTCAGTGTGGGGCTTACATGAAATGCCCAGAACAGACTGGCATAACAGCGAGGTTACCAGAGAAGATGGAAGGAGAGCCTGTGGCCTACCAGAGCTGAGGCTGTCTGCTGGCAGTCCTGCAGAGGGATTGCTCCTTGGTGACGCAGTGGGTGTAGGACGAGCCAGGAATGCCGGAGGCTGGTGCAGTGTTGGCGAACTGACAAGTCTGAATCCCCTCACAAGGCAGCACCGGGACAGAGCCTCTTACAGCAGGAGATGTGTCCCGTGCTGCTCTGAGTCAGGGCCTGCAAATCGACCATGCAGCATATTTGTACAACAGCCAAAGCTGACTTAAAAATATAACCAAGATCTGGCTAGCCTGGAGCTCCCATCAGCCCTGTGTTTCCTCCCAGAGAGGATATGAGAGCCAACAGTTGAACACGGGGGCCATTTGTGTTGATTGCCTCAAGCTCCAGGATGCTCTATCTGGCCAAGGCTGTCATGGGCACCTTTCTCCCTTCAACCAAAGGCTTGTGCTGCCTCCTCCAGAAAAGATTTGGAAGGTAGCTAGTCCATTCTCTCACCCACTAAGGAACTTCAAGGTGTCTTCAATTAAATGACCACAGAATAGGATTCCTGAACCCCCGAGAGGCAGCTGAATCAGTGTGCAGACTCAAAAATGATCCATGCCTCCAGCGTCTGCTTGTACCCTGCTTTGCCTGCTTTCTGTATTTCTTCCAGCATCACAGTGGAATCTGGGCTATATACAGTAGTCACCAGGCTCTACTTTCTACTTTCCGTCATTCTCTGGGGAACTTTGCCTCTGGGCAGCCAGTCTCCTGTTTCCAGAATATGGAAACACCAGAGAGAACTTTAAAATTGTTTATTTTTGAGATTGGATCTAATGTAGCCCAGGCTGGCCTGGAACTTGTTATGTTGCTGAGGGTGACCTTGAACTTCTGATCCTGCTGCCTCCCACTGCTGAATGTTAGGATTGCAGGACACTGTGCTGCCACACTTGATTTATCAGTGCTGCAAATGGAGCCCAGTGTTTTATTCATGATAGGCAAGCACTCTGCCAACTGAGCTACATCCCGGAGAGACAATGTGGTTAGGACAATAGTCATAGGCAGTAAGGCTCCCCAGCCCCCTAGCACCATGTTCTCAGAGCCATGACAAGTTCTGTCTTCTGACCTGGCCATCCTTACCATGCAAATGCCGTTCCTGGATGCTGACCTTAAGACATCATCCAGGGCTTCTCAGTTCTGTCCCCTGAAGACCCCCTAATCTCTCCGAAAGTTTAACCTCTTCCCTAAGAAAAAATGTGGGAGCCATGGGCAGGGTCTATCCCCACTGTGTCTCCAGCATCTCTGGCAATCAAAGGGTTCTGCCATCCTCTTGCAACACCAGATCCTCAAGTGCCTTGACCAAAAGAGCCCACCTTCCAGGATTCTAGGACAGCTGCCCTTTCCAGCAGTCTTGCCTGGCTCTGCAAGCCAGGAGGGTAAGAGCCCAGTAGCATCATGGGGGTACACTTCTGGCCTGGGCCCCTCACCTGGGCAGAGCTCACACATGAGAGGCTCATGCCCACAAGCCCTGATAAGTAGGAGGGTAAGAATTAAGGGCCATTCTGGACTAGGAACCTGGCTGTTGAACCTTTATTAGGACATAGGAGGAGGGGGACTCTTGTGATCTGAGCTTGGAGTCGTCAAGACTCAAACCTTGCCAATAAAGACCAGATCTGGAGTGCCCCCCCCAAGCCCCAGCACTCGAGAGACTTCCAGTTCGAGTGCTCCTCAGGTCACTTTGGCACCGTTTCCCCTCCAACCTCGCAGAGTATGGATCATACATTATTAGACTACTCACACCTTTCATGGGGCCGCAACCCTACCTGGTTCTGCCTGTTGGCCTACTGCTACCCAGTATCAGGAACACCTTGAGGATATGACCCAACATTTGTCACACTTTTTGCCACAATGCTCTTACCACTCCCAACCTAACACAGCCACTGGGTCACAACTGTCCTGAGCAAACCCCTGGTCTGGCTTTTCTAGGGGATCCCACAAGGGTCTAATTGTGATCATTTGGGCTCCCTCCTTTCACATTTTTCTATTTTATGTGCATTGGTGGTTCTGCCTGCATGTGTGTCTGTGTGAGGGTGTCAGATCCCCTGGAGGTTAGTTACAGGCATTTGTGAGCTGCCACGTGGGTGGTGGGAACTGAACCTAGGTCTTCTGGAAGAGCAGTCAGTTCTCTTAACCACTGAGCCATCTCTCTCCTGCGTTAGTCTACAGAGAGGTAGGCCTCAGGGCCACCTCCCCTGTCCCTGCCTAACCCAGCTGGGCTGGCTGCCACACCTGGGTCATAGTTCTTAATCTTCCTTCTCTCCTGGCAAAGACTGGGCTCTGCAGCCAAGATGCCAAGGGAATAATTTCAGTCAGCCAAGGTAAGCACATCAGATGACTACAACTTTGAGACGTTGCCACCACTACACGCCACCTCAACCTGCCAGGCATGAAGGGAGAGAAGCCCCTCACACTGCTGGAAAATGCTAGCTGAACTGGAAGCCACTTGCAGCCCTCTTGGAACCCTTCCACCACCACCCTCCATTCAATCACCCTTCTTGACCTCACTATAGATAGCCAAGGCCTACCATATAGCCAAGGCCAGTGGTGGTTTGTGTATTGGTTAATGTTGGACAGAAGTTACGGTGGAATAGTGGACCATAGCCTCTGGGTATTTAGCCATAAGCAGCTCAAGGTCAAGGACTGTAGGTGGAGAAGCTGAAAAGTTCAGGTAGCTATCATCCCACCAAGAGTGACCCGTGTGTGAGATGAGAAGAGGCAGCTTTCCTGCCCATGGTATCCAGGAGTTAACAGTCAAGGGTGGGCCCAGGACATGCTGGGATTGCATCCTTGAGGACGCCTCTGTCCCTCAAGCTACAGTGTCTTAGTCAGGGGGTTATTGTTACTGTTATGAAATACCATGACCGAAAAGCAAGTTGGGGAGGAAAGAGTTTATTTGGCTCACACTTCGATATCACTGTTCATCATTGAAGGAACTCAAACAGGGCAGGAACTTGGAGGCAGGAGCTGAGGCAGAGGCCATGGAAGGGTGTTACTTACTGGCTTGCTCCCTATAGCTTGCTCAGCCTGCCTTCTTGTAGAATCCACAATGGGCTGGTCCCTCCCCCCATCAATCACTAATTAAGAAAATGCCAACCAGGCAGTTGTGGCACACGCCTTTATTCCCAGCACTCAGGAGGCAGGGGCAGGCAGATCTCTGTGAGTTCAAGGCCAGCCTAATCTACAGAGTGAGTTCCAGGACAGCCAGGGCTACATAGAAAAACCCTACCTTGAAAAGCCAAAAGAAAAAGAAAATGCCCTACAACTGGATCTTTTCTCAATTGTGATTTCTACCTTACTGATAACTCTGGCTTGTGGTCAAGTTGATGTAAAACTACCCAGCAAAAAACGGGACCCTTACCCTTATCCCTGTGGCCTTCAGAAAATACTCTGGGCTTCTAGGTTCTGGGGAGAGACTGGCCCTGGCCACCAGCTGGTGGCTCTTGAAACCGGAGGCAATCTCATTGGTGAGGTTTGCCTGAGTCAGAGCCAGCAGTCACTACAGTCATCTGAAGGCTTCAGACAAAAGGACTTCGTGAGGAAGAAGCTCCTCCACCCCTGCAAAGATTGAGAGTGACATGCCACCCTGTAATTTCAGAGCAGAGCAGGGGAACATGGGGTCTAATTTACATAAGAGCACAGCACTTGGAGAGCCTGTTTGCCTCTTACAACTCGCAGGCATCATTCGGGAACATCTCATTTGACTACAAACGTGTCCCTTCGTGCTGCCTGTAAATGGGTGCTTTGGTAGGAGAGGGAGGCATAACATCTCAGCAGCACCTAGCTCAACATGAGCGAGGTCCTGGGCACAGGTTAGGGCCCTCCTCCCTCCTCTGCCCTCCAACAGACACAGGGCCCGTGTGAAGCTCACCAGGCCTGGTC